TTCCATGCGCCTACCAGCTATATTTTTCAACTTTCACAATAACACCCATATACCCACCCTACACACCTAAAATAATCCTAAACAATCCCTCCCTTCATTTAAATCCTAACTCTCAAATCACACTCTACTCATCACCACATCCCTCTAACATACAAATTCAACTCACTACCATTCAAATTCATTCAAACCAACTCATACTCCACCAAACACATAATAACCTTTTCCCTTCACTAACCTCTTCCTTCTCAACATACTTCCTACTTCATCTTACCTAACTTATCTCCATCTAACACTCCCACCCAATTCTCCATAATTAACCAAACCCCACCACACCATAAAAACTAACCACCAAACCTCATATATCTACTACCAAACCTCCTCCTCCCCCACCACTCACACACACATCATAAAAAACCAAATACTCCAAAAATAATACTTTATCCAAACCCACTTAAACTAACACCCAATACTCTTACATATACCAAACTTAGTTAAATTATACAATTTCCCTTCCCCCCCAAACCATCCCAACCACTCCCCATTACAACCATCACACTTCTAAATAATAACCTATCCACTCCAATTACAACTACCTTCCCCCTTACCCAATATCTCCCAACATCCATTCTACTACTTAACCACCAACAACCAGTGTGTGTGTAATTTCAAATCAACCACCACCCTCCAACCCTATCCACTAACCATAATACATCCTTCACAACCCCACCACTTTAAACCACCCTCCTAACATTCTTAACAATATTTAACCATCCCCCCCCCCTCCCATAACCACAACCCCAAAACACGCAGTGTGTTCCACCCCCCCCCCCCCCCCCCCCCCCCCCCCCCCCCCCTCATCTCCCCTCAATCGATCCCCCACCAACCCCCCCCCCCCCCCACCGCCCCCCCTTCCCAACCCCTCCCCCCCCCCCCCCCCCCCCCCCCCCCTCCCCTCCCCCCCCCCCCGGAATTCCAGGACAATGCTTTCCTCCCATGCCAAGTTTGTGTAGTTTATCCATATCTTCATGGCCGGTTGAACCATTGCGTTATTTCTTTGGCCTGCGAGTGGTACGTGGAATGGCGTCGCCTCTGGATGCTCCACTTGTCCATAGCGGTGGTAAACGACTTCTACTAGAAGTCGGGCTCTTGGTCGGCGATAACTCATTGTGGTATCCAATCTTTCGGGCACATTTGAATTCGAATACATGCGACGCGGTCGCATTTGTCTGATCCAGTACGCCAACTGATCTAACTTGGTATGGCTTCCCCTCAGCGAGTGAACTGGTCCATTAGCATTAGGACATATCTTTCCTGATCGACTCACTGGTACGGGGTCCTAATGCATCCAGTGCCCAAGACCGAAGGGGCGCATCGGTGATCTCGATGCATGCAGCTCGCGACTCGGTTGGCAGTTTGGGCATCCATGGTTGTATGCCACGACGTCCTTCCTCATGGTAGAGCAAAACACTCTCCTCCGTAGCAATTAAATGACGCTCTCGAATCCATATGGATCCCATCATGAGTTATTCGCATCCCCCGCTCTCACAGAGTCGGTAGAAAAAATGCACTTTCCTTCCGTCTGTCACAACCAACACATTATCCTTTTCCATCCGCAGTCCATCCCAGATCCTAAGGAGTTCCTTCACCTCTTTTGTTGTGGCCTCCGACTTGGTGCCGGCCTGTAAATGAGAGTAGAGCACTTTCACAAGTTCAGCTGTCCTTTGATCTCTCAGCAGGTTCCTCTACTTCACCGTGTGCACACGCACCGGTATGGCCTTGCCCGGCATGAGATCGTCCAACGAGGGGTGTGACAACGGATCGGATACTATGTTCTGCGTCCCGTCTACACGCTCGATGGTGAAGTTACATTCTTGCAGTCAGTATGCCCACCGCGCAAGGCGTCCCGGTGTGTCTTTTGCTGTCCTCAACCATGAAAGCGGCTTGTGGTCAGTGGCGATGCGGAATCAATCGCCAGGAGGTAAGTTCTCCATTTATCCAAGGCCCACACGATGGCCAGACATGCTTTCTCCTAGGTAGAATACTTTTGCTTCGCCACTGGCAGTACTCTACTCGCATATGCCACCACTTCAGCTGGTTGGGACAATACCAAACCGATTGTCACAGCGAATCTTCCATCAGGATTGGGTAGCCGTAAGCTTATTGTGGCTCCTGTTATGCATGCCGTTAGGTAGTTAAAGACTTGAGCCATATTGACTGTCCACGCGAATGGTTCGTTCTTGTGAAGCAGCTTTAACAACGGGTTGATCCTGTCTGCAAAATGGGGCACAAACTTCTAGTCATATACCACCACTCCCAGGAACGTACCGAGCTGACACTTGGATTTTAGCACTGCAAACTCTTAATCGTCTCGCGTTTCTCTGGAAGCGGATGAACTTTGCCACTGCTCACAATGTGGCCCAGACATATAATAGACTTCTGAGCAATCTGCGACTTTTGCGATTGAGTTTCGGACCAACTTCTTCCAGTCTTTGTAGTACTGTTGCAAGTCTGGTAACATGTTCGTGATCTGTCTCGAAGATGATGATGTCATCACCAAAGACAACCACGCCTTGTAGATTCTCCAGGACCATCAGCAATAGGCGTCTAAAGGTAGCTGGGGCGTTGCATAATCCAAACGGCTTTCTTAGAAACGAGTACCGTTGGCTGTTCACAGGGAAAGCCGTCTTATGGCGATCTTCCTCTGCGATGGGCAGCTGCCAATATCCCGATCAGAGATCTATCGAAGAAATCTGCTTGGCACGGTGAAGGCTAGATAAAATGTTTTCCCTCTGGGGTATTGGAAACGAATTCGTTACCGTCACTCTGTTCAGTTCTCTGAAATCAGTACAAAATCGATGGGTACAGTCGGCCATTTCGTCAGTAGCACGAGTGATGAATACGGACTGTGCGTTTGCCTGATGACTCCTTTCGCTTCCATCTTTGTTAACGGTTTCTGTATCTCGGTCAGCGTATTCTGCGGTATTCTGCTGGAAATCAGCTTGCGCTGCCCTCCCGGGAATAATGGTATTCGATGTTCCACACAGTTGCAGAATCTGTAAGCATCATCTGCGTCCGTGCATAGGTGGGTATACTTGCTCAGTACACATCATATTTCAAGGTCTTGTCAATATGGCAGGACCTTGATGACACCTACCCGGTCGGCTCTCCCAGTGTTCATCTTAATCATCACGTTGCCTACGTTTACCACGAAGTCTCTCAGATCAATTGTGGCACCAAGCCGTTTGAGAATGTAGTAACCGATGCTTATTTCGATTGTACGCTCCATCATGAACAGATCATGGCTGATGAAGGTTTCTCCTATCCTGATTCGCAACCGCTGTGTGTCCGTCAACGTCAAACGATATCCTCCGACGGTCTGCATCACGATAGTGGATTGTTACTGGAACTCCTTCGCACCTCTGCTTAATGGACAATCCCGCTCCCGTGTCCATTATGGCCCGAAACGACACACCTCCAATAGTTCCAAGTGGCATTTGGTGTACTCGCTGTGTGGTTGGATTGCGACTCGCAATCTCTATTCAGACCTCGGTCCTAAGTGGACCTCGGTCATTACGATCACAAGGACCGTAACCGAATTGGTGATTCGGTGTTGCTCCTCCCAACCCTGAGACCCCAGGGTTGGGAGGAGCAACACCGAATCACCTCCAATAGTTACTTTGAGGATCGGTACGCGCCACCTACTCTGCCAGGATAGACAATGGATAGAAACAATGGTACAAAGTGCAGTTGGTGCAGGATCTAGTCACATGACCCACCTGATTGTATCAGGAATAGCGGCGACCATTCCGGCTCCCATGTTCATTGCGTTGTGAAATCGGTCTCGGAGTCTCCCTTGACAACAGCTTCTCCAACCTTCCGGACAGTTGGTTTACGTTGTGTTCCAACTCCGAATGCTAGACTCTGCAAACTGTCACTCACTCCGACAAATTCTGGGCAACCGCCACCAGATCCTCCGCCCTGATTTCTCCATCCCTCGCCGCCAACTTTATCTTGAGATGGAATGGGTCCGGCAGGCTTCGAACAAATTGCTGTTTGAGTAGCCGTTCTCGAGCATTACCCTACAACCCAGAGAGTCCCATCCATAGCTGTTTGATCATCTGCTGAAAAAACACCATCAAATACTTCTGTTCCTCTCATTTGGCCGAGTGAACTTGCTCCAGCGCTAGCTGTCTACCGCCTTCTTTCCCAAATTTTGCACACAATGCGAACAGCCGGAATTAGCTTTCTGAGTAAGCAAATGCACCGCCTTCACTCTTTCTTCCAACAGCGCGCTCGAAGCAGTTAGGAAACTGGCGTCACCTTAGACCCCGTTGCATGCGGCGAGGATCACAAATTCATCGAGCCATGTCACCACGTCTTCCCGTACAAATTGCGTTGGCCAGGTTAGCTTCATCCTGATTGGTCACGGTACCTGCGCGGGAGGGGAACAGAGCGTGTATTGCCACAGCAAGGGGCAAACTAACCACACACAAACCCGTACAGATATGGACCGTGTTTCTCTCGCAAGACGCACCGCGGATGAGGATTTGTGAGACGGGCCATTCCATTCGTCTACCAGATTGGGCTTAGGGAACAATTTCTCCATGTTTCATCCCGAATCTCCGTTTTGCTTTATGCGATTCTAGCCAGCCAGGAGTCGTTTGAAAGCTCGCAATTTGATCTCGCGTAGCTGCATCACTCGGCACGCGTTCAGTCCTATGGGCTTCGCTAGTGGTGGATTTGTCTGATTCATTACGCTGTCGACAAATATCTCCTCTGTTGTTCCGGGCCCAGGCTCGTTACGAGACGTCGCTCATGATCGGCCGTCGGCTCGGTCCGTAAGGTCCGCACTGCCTTATCTCATCCATTGCACCTGTTGGTAATTCCCTACTATCCTGTTTTAGTTAACTTTCCGTTTTCTGCTTGGTCTTTTGCTTCCGCCTCCCTACAGTATGCCAGTTTCTACGGCTTCGTTCCAGCTGGAACATGCTAGGAGTATATTTGTGTTGGACGACCTATTTAGTCAGGTGCTATGCTGTTCTGATGCTTGGTAGTTAAATTATTCTAAGCAGGCCCTGGTGCGTCGGCAATAATGGCCTCCATGACATCCGAAATACTGGTTGGAAGGTCACTTAAAGGTAGTTGGCTGGATCGGAAAGGTTACCTTTATTGTGAAATGGTTAGCATCCCGTTTCAACATGTCACATGGGTAGATTTCTTTAAACGAGCGTTGGAGTAATCGAGTCAAATCTCAGCTGAGCCCTCCCCTACCACCATTTGTGGCTTTGCATGAATATTATCAAGCCTGAAAAGCGGTGTTTACGCATATTCAACAAAATCTGTGTTTTGGGGAGGAGGCAACATTTGCCTTAGTTAGGTGGCCACTGATGGTGCTGAAATGTTGGAGTATCTTGCAAGCGCAGGGTATTTGCCGCATCCTTCAGCTTAAGTTTTACTGCTTTGGCTATTTGAACAGGAGGAATTCTGTTTCAGCTTACGTAGGCTGTCCATATGTTCACACAACAACTTGTGATTCGATACCACACGCAAGGCCAACCTCTGCTGTTATGCCATTTTCACCTCGCGAACAAGTTGGGTACAGTGATTATGTCGGTCTCGGTGCTCGGAGAGGTTTTATGGATGCGCTAGGCTGAATTTTGCACCGGTATAGCCTTGCATAAACGAGAATACATCTCTCGAGTGAACAGCCTTAGTTTCTGACAATTCGCAATTAAAATGTTAAACAGGTTGACGGACTGTTGTCATACGATAGCTGGTGTCTCGTCTGCCAGATAGGTCCGGTTGGTTAATTCACCGCGTCGAGCTAACATACCGTAGCATACAATCGTGCTAGCTGAGTCAGCAATTTCATGGGATAGTCTGCTTTACAGATATATTCGAAGAGTAACACTACATGATTGCTGCGGCCGAAAGTGACTTCAACAATGACGCGCTCGATCCTGGTTATTCGTTGGTAAATATCCGATCTATCATAGCCGGTCTATCAGTTTCACGGAATCCGGTAGG